CAGCTGATATTGAGCTTCTCCAGCAATTCTTTCCATGATATAATCGATCTGATTCCTATGTATACCATCAGGTGAATTCCATGTGTATAGCCTGCATTTATATTTCTTTTTAAAACATTTTTAAAAATTTATTATTAATTTCAATAAAAATTTACAGACAGTTTGGATTTCCATTCATTCATTGTTTTACTTTTCTCCCCTCCCGGCCCTCCCCACCAGTACACTACCCTCTTGGAAAAGTAAAAGAAAAATTATTTCATTGTTTTACAATCCCTCCCCCCAGATCCACTCCACAATGCAGCCTTCGTTCTGGACTCCCATCATGACAAAAATACCTAATCACATATCCCTTTTAAACAGTTTTCTCCCTCATCTGTTTCAAAGCAGTATACATTTTGAAGCCATCTTTCTCAGTCTCTCCCCAACCCCGAGGTCAGTCCTGTTTTACAACAGTGGCACCGTGCAGTATTTGTCCTTTTGTGACTGAAATATTTCACTCAGCATAATATCCTCCAGAGTCACCCATTTTGAATAATATTGCATGAGTTCCTTGGTTTTTAATGCAGGATAATATTCCATTGTGTGAATATACCACAGCTTCTCTATCCATTCATTTTTTGATAGGCACTTAGGTTGTTTCCAACTCCTTGCTATTGTGAACAAAGCTTCAATAACATGGGTGTTCATATATCTGCTTGGGTGGCAGTTATGGTCTCTTTGGGGTATATTCCCAGTAGTGGAATTGCTGGGTCAAATGGTATCTCTATTTGCAACTTTTTGAGAAAGCGCCATACCACCTTCCACAGTGGTTGCACCATTTTACACTCCCACCAACAGTAAATAAGGGTTCCAGTTTCTCCACAACCCCACCAACATTTACTGTCTGCTGTTCTGTTAAATTTTGTTATTCTGACTGGGGTGAGATGATATCTCATACTTGTTTTTATTTGCACCTCTCTTAGAGCTAAGGATTTTGAACATTTCTTCATGTGCTTGTTAGCCATCTGAATGTCTTATTTGGTGAAGTGTCTGCTCAATATACTGTGCCCATTTCTATTGGATTATTTACCTTTATCTTGTTGTAGTGCACATTTACGTTTCTTATAAAATGTATTTGCAATGAATAAGTCATTGATTGTGCAAAATTCTATCATTCTATCTCCAGCTTAATTTCTGTCACCAAGTCTATGTTTTCCAACTACTGATCCTTCTTTTCCATTCCCAACTTTTGCATTGCAGTCACCCATTATTATTAATGCATCTTGATTGCATGTTCTATTGATCTCTGACTAAAAATAGTTGGTAGAAATCTTCTATTCCCTCTTCTTTGGCTCTGGTTGTTGGTGCATATATTTGAATGATGGTGGTATTCACTGGACCTCCTTGTATCTATATGGATATTATCCTGTCACTCACAACATTGTATTTCAAGATGGATTTAGAAATAACTTTTTTTTTTTTTGCAGCATCATGATAGATGGTGAAGAGATTAAGATTGATAATAGCTTTAGTTTTCTGGGCTTCACAATCAACACTCTTGGTACCAGCAGCCAAGAAATAAAAAGGACAAATTGTATGGAGAAAGTCTGCTGTCAGAGACCAATCCAGAGTACTGAAGAGTAGTGATGTCAGTCTGGAGACACCTGCTCCAGGCCACAATCTTTGCAATTACTTGCTATGCATCAGAAAGCTAGACAATGACTAGAAATGACAGAAGGAAAATTAATGCCTTTGAGCTGTAGTATTGGAGAAGAGTATTGAATATCTCATAGGCTGCTAGGAGAACAAACAGATTCATCCTAGAGAGGGTGAGACCAGGTTGCTCCTTAGAGGCAAGGATTCTGAAGCTTCATCTGACATACTTTGTACATGTTGCAAGGAGGGACCAGCCCTTGGAGAGGGATGTATGTCATGCTTGTAAGGGGAGAAGGACAGTGCAAGAGAGGAAGACCGTCAATGAGATGGACTGTCTCAGTACTGGGGTAATGGAAGTAGGGGTGTCAGACAATAAGATTGGCATAGGATAGAGCAGGTCTTAGGGCTGTTGTACATAGCGTCACTATGAGTCACAAATAACTCGATGGCACATAAGAACAGCAGCAAGGAGTCCTGGTGGTATAGTGTGTAACATGAGAAGATTGTCAGTTAAAATCCACAAGATACTCTGAACAAGAAAGATGGGCAGCCCACTCCCATAATATAGCCTCAGAAACCTGATAGAAGTTTGCTATGCTTTGGAACAGACATAATAAAAATAAGTTTAAATTTTGGCAATTAAACATCTAGCTAGAGATGTTAAGGATGTTAGATATATTTGTCTGGGTTTCAGTGAAAGAGTGTCCAGACTAGAGATAATTTATGTCCATTTGAACATAGGTGGTATCTAACACTGTAAGACTAGATATAAATTAGAAAGGGACACTAGAGAAAGAAGAAATATGCAAAGATTTATCCATAGGACACTAACTACTTAGGGATCAGGGTGAAATGAAAAGAAACAAAGGAGGAATTCAGATACAAAGGCCAGAAAGCAGAAGGATAATATAATGTGTGTCTTGTCCTAGAAACCAAGTTAAGAATGTATTTCAATGCTGCAGGATGAGAACTGATCTTTAGATTTGACAATAGGTAAATACTGGACTTGTTAATAAGAGCGGTTTTAGTGGAGTTGTGGGGACTATACAATGATTGGAGGAGAGCAACAGCAAATGAATGGAGAGGACTTGGATTCAGTATACACAAGGAAATTCTTTCAAGGTGTTTTGCTTCAAAATGGGAGAGAAATGAGATAGTAGGATCAAAGAATCAAGAGAACATTTTTCCTCCCCCTCCTTTTAAAATAATAACATTAAACAAGTTGTTATTGTTATGTACTGTCACATTGGAGCTGACCCTCTGGCAAGTCGTCAGAGGCAGTTAAACCCATGGGAGGTGATTGCCTATCTGTCTCCTGTGAGGCAGCTGGTGGATTTGAACAGCATGCCTTTGGTATTGTAGTACAGTTTCTTACCTCTAGGCTACCAGAACATAGTACATGCTAATAGAGATGATCTAGTACAAAAGATAAAGTTATGAGAAAAGGGAGAAATTGATAATAATGATGTACAATTTAGTAAAGAGAAGATTGAAACCTGCTTATCACAGAGTCGATTTATACTCGTGGCAATGCCCTATGTGCTAGAACAAAATAGAACTGTGCTCATGGGGTTTTCAATGGTTGTTCTTTTTTTTTTTTTAAGAAAAATCACCAGGTTTTCTTGCAAGGGACCTGTAGGTGGACTTGAATTGATCACTTTTCAATTAGCAGCTGAACAAGCCTTAACCAAATCAAGGTCAGTTCATTCACAACAGGAGAGAAGGCAGAATATTTAAGCATAAATTCAGGGACATGGGAAGGTGTGTGGGAAGGCATGATAGCAGAAATTTGTGGGAGTTCTTTTCCGATTGATCACGTTATTTCCCTCACTGCAGTAGGAAGTTAAGCTATTAAGTGAGTTTGGTGATAGAAAGGTGGTGGTAATTACTAAGGGATGGAAAGTTTAAAACAGTGTAATCCACTGTCAATAGATTCCAACACATAGGACCTGTCGATAGAAGGAGACTGCCACGTCTTTCTCCTGCAGAGCAGTTCATGGATTGGAACCACCAACCTTTCAGTTAGATTAACATTTACTTAAAGCATCAGCCTTCAGCTCGCAGCAACCTTTCAATCATGCGCTTACCCACTGCACATGAGAACTCCTTCATGTTTAGTAAAGTGGTAGAGAAAATGAATGAGTGTGTGACTGTTGAGTATGTCGGTGTGGCTCATTTGAGATTAGTGCTCATGGCCTTAACTTGAACCTCAACAGGACAAGATGTGAGCCCTACAGAGAGGCAGAGTCCTCAGGGCAAAGGCACATACAGATGGAAAAGAAAGCAAACAGAAATCTCAGAGATGCTGTAGATGTGGTGGGTGTTACAGATGATGGAGCTTGAAAATGAAGACTCAAGGGAAGGGTGTCAGGGTGCAAAACTAGTGAGAGAGACACAGGGCCACCATCTCCTTTGTTACTCAGTTCCTTTTCACTCTTTTCCTATTTCCAGTTTTCTTCTCATCTTTGCCTCTCTCCTTCTCTCTCTCTCTCTCTCTCTCTCTCTCTCTCTCTCCATTTGTTTCGCTTACTATAATGTTTCCTGTCCTATTGTTGATTAATATTCATTTTCCTTCTCAGGCACCAGCAGCCAGGAAATTAAAAGACATATCCTGATGGGGAAGTCTGTGATTAGAGACCTCTCTAAAGTACTGAAATGCAACAATGTCAGTCTGGAGACTAAGGTGCACCTGATTCAGGCCATGGTCTTTGCAATCATTTGCTATGCATCAGAAAGCTGGACAATGACTAGGGATGATAGAAGGAGAATTGATGTCTTTGAGCTGTGGTGCCAGAGAAGAGTATTGAATGTACTATGGACTGCTAGGAAAATGAACAAATTTGTCCTGGAGAGGGTGAAGCCATGCTGCTTCTCTGAGGCAAGGATTCTGAAGCTTCGTTTGACATACTTTGGAGATGTTGCAAGGAGACTCCAGTCCTTGGAGAGGGACTTCATGCTTGGGAGGGTGGAGTGACAGCACCAGAGAGGAAGACCCTCTATGAGGTGGATTGATTCAGTGACTGGGGTAATGAGGGTCGGTGTGTCAGAGATAGTGAGATTGGCACAGGATAGGGCAGAGTTTAGGGCTGTTGTACATAGGGTCGCTATGAGTCGCAGGCAAGTCAATGGCACATAAAAACAGCAACAACAGAATCTTCCAGCTTACCATTTGAACTTTCTTCAGATATGGGCTATTTCTTTGCTCCTCTCTGGTTGTGCCCGTTTTTCTCCTCCCCACTCCTTTAGAAATGATCAATGTGGTTTGCTTTAAAGATGCTTTGAAACAACTCCAGGGGACATCCTGCTGGGTGAGATGTGCTTAGCAGGCTCACCTCTTTGGGACATAAGAGTGTCCCTTTCCTCACCTGGACTTTGACTGGCTCCATCCAGTGCTCCAGAGTGTCGACAGTGATGTTCTCAGGCAGCAGGACAGGATCACTAGGCAGGACTACACACAGCGGGGAGCATACAGCACCTGAGGGAACACAATTCCATGGTGGGGACTTGAGTATATCAGTCTTTGTTTTTTCTATCCTAGAATCATTAACTTCGAATTTTCAAAAGGCAATTGCTGTCTGCATAACAGGCCCCCACACTATGATGATGTTGATGATTAGCACGACTGATATTCATCTCTGTGTACTTATAGAAATATTTCCACTGTGCTGAACTCTGTCCCCTTGTGCCTGTGTCCCCTACTCTGCCTGGTTCAGCTACAGATGCTCCTTTAGGATCCCTAGATCCCTCAATGATCCAGTAACTAAAAGATTAACTCCTGATCTAGAAGACCTTCCTCATGTTGGTGAGCCAAAGTCTATCCTGATTGATTGATGCCTATTAAATACAATTAATATGCATCATGCTTGGAAGGGTGGAAGGACAGTGCAGAAGAGGAAGACCCTAGGTGAGAAGGATTGATACAGTAACTGGGACAATGAGGGTAGGTGTGAGATTGGCTCAGGACAGGGCAGGCTTTAAAGCTGTTGTACAAAGGGTCACTATGAGTCGCAGGTGACTCTACAGCAGTAAATGACAACAATTGCTTATATGACCCACACATTTATAGTTCTAACAAATAATATCTAAAATGTTATTAGCTGGGGTGGGGAGGAGAAGAAGTCCAGAAATTATAATGGCACATTTATAAAAGTGTTTACACATTGAAGATCATTTTGTTGGTAGCTAAGGAAACTATGGGTTTAAAAGAAGTAATATGACAAAAAGCAGAGACTTTGGTCATGTGTTGGCTTCTCAAGGGAAAGCATTGTGCTATTTTCTTCCAAGTAGGGCCCAAGGAACTTCTGAAATCCTATTCCAAGGAAGCAAATCTCAAGGTTTCTACTTCCTATAGACTTAGTGATCACCACATATCCTTTCAGCTCTCACTGTCTATGGTTTTATTTTTCTGCACCATTAACAATAATCAAAAGAGCTACTCCATTCTTCAAGACTCTAGATATATGAGTGTATGGTATTTCAGTGCAGAAATTAAAGGCCTGGAAGATGAGACTTCAGGAGACACCACTCAAGAGGCAAAATCTGAGCACTGAGCACTCCATGTCTGACCACGAGATGTCCCCATGCAAAGAGTAACTTTGAATAACTTGAAGAGGATAAGAGCCACTCTGAAAATTAATGAGGGCACTGTTTAATTCAAATTTTACTCACAGGCTATTCCTAGGCTAGAATTTCTTAGAATGATCACTCCTTGCCTGTGTAGTTCAGAAGTGATAGACAAAATCATTTAATTTCCCACAAACTCTTTTTTCCCTGGATGCTCAGGCCCAGAAAAGTCGAGTCAACATAACTCTAAATAAGATCTGGCTAGAAGGACCCTTAATTGCAATTACTTGAGTCCTGAGTTGGCCACAAGCTCTGGAGCATAGACTCGTGCAGAAAGAATGACTGAAGAGCAAGGCACACACACACACACACAATATCAAACTGTCCCTTCCAGGAATACTTCCCTCCAGTAACAAGCACAGAGACCATGCAGGAGCCCAGCATATTCATGATGTATCTACACATCCTCACCTTTCTTCTTGGATCTACAGATCCGGGGCGGGGGGTGGGGGGCGATCTATCCTTTCTCGATTCCACAGCAGAGCTGCAGAACCATTGCCACAAAGTCAATTTCGACTCATAGTGACCCTATAGGACAGAGTAAAACTGTCTCACAGGGTTTCCAAAGCTTTAAATCTTTACAGAAACCGACGGCTCATCTTCTTTCCTTTGGGTAACAGCCAAGTGGTTAATTACTGTATCATTCGAGCTTCCTTTCTAGTGTGACCAAAAATGATGCAATGGCTCAGCAGCCAGACTGGCTTTAATACGCTCAAGGAAGATTAATGCGTTGCCGCAAATGACGGCAAATGTGTTTCTAAGCACAGTTGTAGATTTTAAAAGTGTGAGGCAACATGTTAACAACGACACATTTTTTTTTTTTAATTGTAACTTTCATATTATATTGAGGCAGATAACACTCAACTTGCATTTCCTTGGGAGAAGAGTAGATCTGATTCAAACTGCACCGAGGCCTAATAGAAGGGTATAATAGAAGCAGAATTCAATTTCCCAGTCAGTCTTACCAATTCCATAGCCCTGGTCACACTTGTACTCGATGGAATTCAGTTCTGAGGGAGGTGGTTGACATTCTCCTTGCAAGTTCTCACACAATTTAAACTCCCTGGTCCACAGTCCTTCCTTAGTACAGTGGATGGGAGCCTAGAACATCAAAGGAAAGAAGTGTTTCCATTATTACCTTGTTAATACTTTGAGTATGTTTTTGGGAGAAGCCAGTCCTTGGAAAAAGACATTATGCTGTGAATTATAGTGTGTCAGAGAAATATTAAAAGATCCTCAACAAGATGGATGGACACACAGACTGTAACAATCAGAAATTGTGAGACTGGATCAGGATAGGAGAAGGTTCCAATCTGTTGTTCATAGCTGAGTCATAATTGACTTGACGGCATCTAACAACAGCAACAATTTCATTGACAGTGGAGAAAAATAATCCAGTCAGGGGATAGTGTTCTTCAAATTCCAAAACTGACAACAAAAGGCACTATCTAAACAATAGAACATACCACAATAGTCAAGATAGTTCCTTGTCATTTTGTTGTGAGAGTAATGAAAAATTCCATGACAATAATATGTTGTCCTTATTTTAGAAAGATATGATAACATATCAACTCTAGACCTTGTATTTTGAGATATTTTGGGAATCTTCCCCAGATGCTGGGGTTCTGCATTGATCCATTTGTGCTATGACATAAAAGCTGCTTGTGGCAAATGTTGGAATTTTTTCAAGATGGGTTTCACCTAGTGCAACAATGAATGATTTTTTTTTTTTTTTAAAAAAGCAAACTGTGCGGGGGAAGGGAGGGAGAAGGGGTAAAATGTGCATCAATGAGTGAATGAAAATCTAACTTCTCTATAAATGTTTATTATAATCACAATTAAAATAACATTTTCTTTTCAAAAAAACCCTAATTTTCCTGTGTTTTTTGTCTTTCTAAGTAAATGGACATCACTAGGGGCATAGCTGCCTTTGATGTCATCTACTCTTCTATTCTCTTTCTTGAGATACATGTTGGCTGAAGTGACTGTGAATTTATACCATCAATATTAAAAATGAATTCTATACTTAGAACATAAAGGATAGCACTTAATTCACCAAACTGAAGAAAGCAACACTTTAGAATTATACATCATCTTTCCTTTATAAGCTGGTTCCTTAGTTCCTTAACCCATTAGTGCAATCAGATGTGTCCGGCTTCTCTCAGAGCTCCTTTCTTCTGTTCTTTTCGCATCTGTCCTGCGGTGCACATCTTAGGATACTGGACACTGAGATGAAGGCATGGGACAGGAGAACACTCAGGACCATTGATCTTTGTGGAAGTCAGCTTCATTTCCTGCCTCATAGCTATGTGCAGCGTTTGAAAGGATTCTAAAATAAAATTTATTTTAGTCATACAACCACGATAAGGTTGTGGTTTTCATTTGAGACCTCTAGAGCCGAAATCCTAGGGGGAACAATAGGCAGAACTTGAAGCTTTTCTGAGAAATTTGTGTTTCTATTCAGGACTTTGTTCAACTAAAAAAATATAATACCAGCAGTCCTAGCCAAGTTCAACCAATGACCGCACAGAGGAGGAGGTCACTTTGCCATATCAAAATCCCGGAATTTTTTGGAATGTGCTCATCTATCCAGTCAAAAGTTTTTTATCTCATAGGCAGGTATAAACTTTGGAGAGAACATTCCCTATCAAATGATATAAACATTCTGGTTAGAAACCCAACATGGTAAGGCCCAGCCTGTTGAGATTCTTTCATAGTATTTCTATTAACCATTCTCAGACTTGACGTTGATAGTAGACCATACTCCAAAATAAATTTCAAAATACGATCCTTACCTTTTCATGTTCCTGGTTACACTTGAGCACACACTCGCTGTCCAGCTCAAAGCCTTTGGTGCATTCATACATGCCTTCAAAGATAGGAGGAGGGGGCTCACACACCACTGGAATGCAGGCACCTCGTTCCCACATCCCACTCTCCAGGCACTGTATCTTCAGGAACTTGCTGAGAAGACATAAAGAAAAAAGTCCATCACCATAAAGACAAGTCCATCACATTTCGTCAGGCTCAGGGGAGAAGACTATCTCCTGAACAACAGTGAAGGGCAGATAGTTCATACAAGCCAAATGCTCTTCTTCTTAGTCTAATTTCTAATTCAAGGAATCATTAATGTTCTTTTAATATATAAGTAGCAGTTGAAACCTGAGTCACAACTGACCCTCCAGCAGGTTTTCAGAGGCTATAAATTTAAGACAAGGAGCAACTGATGGATTCAAATAACCTGCCTTTGGACTGGCAGTGAAACTCCCTACCCTCTAGGCTACCAGAGCTCAGTTGTAAAAAGTGCCCTGGAAGCAAAAGAATTGTGACCTTGGCCACTTGAAGGATTGACCTGATAAACTTACTGACAGTTCCATAGGAGAAAGACTTGGTGAAACTACTCCTGTAAAGATTATAGCTTAGGAAACCTTAAGAAATAGTTCTACATAGTCACATGGTGTCCCTATAAGTAAAAACCACTCAGTGGCATATAACAATAATAAATAGTTGTTGTTAGTGATATTTTTGAGATGTCATTTCAAAAGAGTCGCATAAGTATTACATTGGTGGAAGTATTGATTGTTTAGAGTTGAATTTTCCTAGAGATTTTTTATATGTTTTTATTGGTTTTGGTTTATTAAATACTAGTTTATTTACAAAATTTGAATACACTGCTTTCGAGAATAGAGTCTTCCAATTCCTCTTACCCCACCACCCATCAAATTGTACACCCCTATAATTAATCCTCCCTCTCCCTGCACATCCTCATCCCTCTGCTTCTATCTTCTCCCACCTCCCTTGGATCCTCATACTCATTCTACAATAATGAGATTTTTTTTTAAAAATTTCAATTTTAATTGTGTTTTTAACAAAATTTTACAGAAAAGTTAGATTTTTATTTATTCATTCATTGTTGTACATTTTATTCCCTCTCCCTCCCTTCCCCTAATTCACTTTTTCTTTTTATATTCATTCATTGTTGCTCAATTACCCCACCTCCTGCCAGTCCTCTTGAAATGTTTTCCTGGAGAGTTTCATCTTGGCAGTCTCACACCTAAGTATACCGGGAAATGCTGAGTATTATTGCAGTGGAAAAGGATTTTATACACCAGGATACTACCCAGAAATGATCAAAGCATACTGCAATGTAATTGTTACTATGTGCCATCAAGTTGACTATGGCTCATAGCGAGTCTATGTGATCTGAACCCTGCTCTATCCTGAGCCAATCTCACTATCTCTGAAACACTTATCCTCTTTACCCCAGTTATTGTGTCAATTCATTTCATCCTGGGTCTTTATCTCCTACACTATCTCTCATTCCTTCCAAGCATGCTATCATTCTCTAAAGACTGATCTCTCCTGGTTAAATGCCCAAATTATGTGAGACATAGTCTCAAAATCCTTGCCTCCAAGGAGCAATGTGGCTTCAGCCTCTCCAGGACAGACCTGTTAGTTCTCTTGGCAGTCCATGGTATGTTCAATACTCTTCTCCACCACCATAATTAAAAGGCATAAATTCTTCTTCTGTCATCCTTGGCAATTTTCCAGCTCTCTGATGCATAGCAAGCAATTGCTAAGACCATGTCTTGAATCAGGCACATCTTAGTCTTTAGACTAACATCCTTGCTCTTCAGTACTCTGGAGAGGTCTCTGATTTTTTTGCAATTTGTCTTTTGATTTCCTGACTACTTGTGCCAAGAGTATTGATTATAGAACCAAGCAAGCTGAAATTTTTAACAATCTCAATCTCTTCTTCATGTATCATGATGCTGCCAATTGGCCCAGTGGCGAGAATCTTCTTTTTCTTGATGTTGGCTTCAATTCATATTTCAAATTACAGAACTTGACCCTCTGCAGCATGCAGGTTGTTGATGTTTCTTTCTCCAGTCTCGATGCTACATTTTTCCTTGTAAAATCCAGCCTCTCAAATGGTCTGTTCTAAAAACAGATTGAAAAGATATGGAGGCAGAAGACATCCTTGATGCACTGCTTTTCTGATTTTGACTCATGTAGTATTTCCTTGCTCTGTTCTGACTACTGCCTCCTGGTCCAAGAATAGGTTTCACATGAATAGAATCAGTGTTCTAGGATTTCCATTTTTCTACAAGTTAGCCACAAGTTGTTGTGATCCACACAGTCAAATACCTGGCAGTGTAATTAAATTACCAATATTTCTTGATTCATTGGAGAAGATGCATGCATCAATATAAATCTTCTTATAAATGTTGCTGTTGTTAGGTGATGTAGAGTCAATTCCAACTCATAATGGCTCTGTGTTCAACTGAACAAAACACTGTATAGGTCTGTATCATCCTAATCACTGTTGAGCCCATTAAAAAAAAATCTACATTTGTCTGCATACAAAATTCATATGCATTGTGTTTCATTCATGTACATTGTGTTTCACATATTCTTTCTTTAATCCTGTTTCTTACAATCATTCATATACATTGTGTTTTTCAAAATTAGTCACCAGTGATCTATGCCTACCATTTCCCCACCTTTTCAAGTCCCCATTGGATCTTTCTTAAATCCTTCACCCTCTCCCTCTGGCCACTAAACTCTGTTACCCTACTGATTCCCCTCCACCCCATCCTAATGCCCTGCCCCCATTCCTCTTTTGGACTTTGATATACATTTTATTAATTATCCTTCTATTTTTATAATAATAGTCTTATGTAGTATTTGTTCACTCAGCATAATGTATTGAGCCCATTATTTTTGTTACAGCCACATTAAGGCATCCTGCAAAGGATTTTCCTTTTTTTCAATGGCTCTTCTTCTAGCAAATATGATGTCATTCTTTACAGACAGGTGATGATATGACCAAAGCATCTGAGCTGAAGTATTAAAAGCAGAGGCTCTGATGCCACCATTCAGAAGGACAGCCTCCTTGAGGTACCACATTTGTTTGTTCATCTATACATTCAATCTTCCACTGGAAAGTGTTCATAGCTTTCATCACAGAAGACATTAATAAAATACTGCCCACCAACAATTGTCTGTCTTACTCATGTTCCTAACAGAGACTTTTAGAGATAGGTAGAAGTTAACAGAATTTGACTTCTTAATACTAAGAACTCCATTATATTTACTTTTGATATGTGAACATACTTCCTGGATCAGCATAACTATAGTTAAAAATAAACTTAAGATTCTAAAGTAAAAATAATTATTTAAGTATTGACTTAATCATGTGGTAGCCTAAAGTTGCCATTTCTAGAGTCATAACATCATTTTTTAGTTTTAATATATCTACAATCCCATGCATGCTGCATTTTTGTCTTTTTTAAAAAAATATTTTTCTTGGTTTGCTTACAAAGTTCTAATACATTGTGTTTCACACTATTCTTCATTCATGTTGTGTCTTATGATCATTCTCATACATTATGTTTTATAAAATTAATCACTATTGGACTGTGCTCATCATTACTCTGTCTTTCCAGGTCCCCACCAGATCTTCCCATTTCCTTCACCCTTCCTTCTATCCAACAAATTGTGCAACACTATGGTTTCACCCATATCCATCCTCACCCCTGTGCTCCCACCCTTTGCCCTCATGGGTCCCAATATATGTTTTACTAGTTACCCATCTATTTTTACAACAATGGCTTTATGTAGTATTTGTCCTTGTAAGATTACCTTAGTTCACTGAGCATAAAGCTCTCCAGTCTCTCCCAAGTTATGTAGTGGTTTTCAAAATCATTGCTTTGAAAGCTGCATAGTATTCCATTGTGTGAATGTACCATAAGTTCTCAATCCATTTGGTTGTGGTTAGACATTTAGGCTATTTCCACATTTTTATGGATTGAGGCTCAACGTCAGGAAAGCAAAGATTCTCACCACTGGGCCAATTGGCAGTATCAGTATGGATGGTGAAGAGATTGAGATAGTTAACAGTTTTAGTTTGCTTGGTTTTACAGTCAACACTCTTGGTAGGAGCAGCCAGGAAATCAAGAGATGAAGTGCATTGCGAAAGTCAGCTGTGAGGGACCTCTCAAGAGTACTGAAGAGCAACAACATCAGTTGGAGACTAAGGCACACCTGATCAAGGCTATAGTCTTCGCAATTACATCATCAGAGAGTTGGACATTGAAAAGGGATGATACAGGCCATCATCTTTGCAATCACTTGTTATGTATCAGAGAGTTGGACAATGACTAGGAAGGATAGAAGGAGAATTGATGCCTTTGAGCTGTGGTGCTGAAGACAAGTGTTGAATATATCACGGACTGCTGGGAGAACAAACATGTTTGTCCTGGAGAGGGTGAAGTCAGAAGGCTCCTTGGAGTCAAGGATTCTGAAGCTTTGTCTGACATACTTTGGGCATGTTGCAAGGAGGGACTGGTCCTTGGAGAGGGACATCATGTTTGGGAGGGTGGAGGGATGGCACAGGAGAGGAAGACCCTCGATGAGATGGATCAATTCTGTGAGTGGAGTGGTGGGAATGAGTGCATTTGAGACAGCTAGGTTGGCACAGGATAGAACAGCGTTTAGGGCTCTTGTACGTAGGGTCGCTATGAGTCGCAAGCGACTCAATGGCACATAACAATGACAACCATATGTTTTTATTTTAATGTTTGGTTTACTTTTTAGATTTTCTTTTTCTTATTGTGTACCATCAAGTAGGATCCAACTGGCACAGGAGGAGATTGCTCTGACTGACTCAGAAGGATACCGCTCCCTCCTCCAGCAGAGCATCTGGTGGATCCGAACCACATGCCTTTGAGATTGCAGCGCCACTTCTTGCCATTAGGCCACCAGAGCTCCTATTTTTTAAAATTTATTCATTGTAACACATTTTCTCCCCCATTCCCTCCCCTTTTGCTCGTCCCCCACCTGCAATACCCCCTTTCTTTTAGATTGTCCTCGTACATACAACGCATAATCTCATATTCTTTTTAAAAAATATTATTTGAATGGCATTCTGTGATGCCTGAAAGTACTAGTCTCTCTTGATT